TGCATTCTCATCTTCTGTTCTGACTCCCTCCAGGGCCTGGCCCTGCTGACTGCCTATAATACTTTTACCTAACTCAGATGCCTATAATATCTGACCCCCATCATGAAGTTGTATCCCCAACTGCCTTGCGGGGGGTGGGGTGGGGGTAAGGGTCAAAAACTGTTCTGGCTCCTTCCGGCTGGCTGAAGGGATGGTAGCTGTGGGCATCAGGGACAGTCCCCAGAGGTCTCGGTGGACACCAGCCCTTCTCAGCTGGGCAGGTGGACAGTTTTAAGTCTCTTTCTAGTTATCGCCCTGGGCCTCCAAGATGCCACAGGACCTCCAAATGATAGCAGGGAATCAGTGTAACTCCTAACCTGCTAATGTCTGCTACACCGAGCTGAGCTCCTGTTCCCCAAAATCAAAGAATGAACTCTGAGGAACCACAGAGGTTAAGAGTAGGAAATTTTATTGAGAGATAGCTCCTGAGAGACAGGAGGGGACACAGAAAGTGGGTTGCCTTCTCTTCTATTTTTCTTTTCTTTTCTTTTTTGGTTTTCTGAGACAGGGTCTCACTATGCAATTCAGGTTGACCTTGAACTCACGTTGTAGCCCAGCTTCAAACTCACAGCAATACTCCTGCCTCAGCCTCCCAAGTGTTGGGACTATAGGTGTGCACCACCACACCTGGCTGCTTTCTTTTCTTTTCCTTTTTGTGTGCAGTTTTTTGTTTTGTTTTGGTTTGGTTTGGTTTTGGGGGGACAGGGTCAGACTATGTAGTTCAGGCTTGAACCCACTATGTGATCCAGGCTGGCCACTATGTGGTCACTGACAGTGATCCTCCTGCGTCTTCCTCTCGAGTGCTGGCATTTTAAGGTGTAGGCTATCATGCCCAGCTTTCTAAAGACAAAATTTCACAGTATATGAAAAATGTATATACTGATTGATTTTTTTCCTTTTTATCTTTTTGAGGCAGAGTTTCACTATGTAATTCAGGCTGGCCTTGGACTCTTAGCAATCCTCCTGCCTCAGCCTCTTAAATGCTGGGATTACATATACATATCATATATATATGTATGTGACATAAATACATATATTTAAAGACAGACTCTCACTGTATAGCCCAGGCTGGCCTGAAACTCAAGGCAATCCTTGCGAGGCTTCAACCTCCCAAATGCTAGGATTACACTCATGCACCACCACACCTGGCTCTTGAATTATATTTTACTAACATTATGAAACTTCCATTTTCCCTGCAATCCCAGTGAGGTGTCATTTTTGTGCAGCAGCCCAACATAAATGCTATTCCACAGCTGTGCTAATTTGCATGCTCCTGAGTCTAGGGCGCTGGGAAGGTTTTCATGTTTCTTGATCATTCTTCACTTTTTTTTAGTGAATTAAGCTCTGGGCCGCCATTGCCCAATATTTGGGGCTGCAATCTCATTTAATAGTTTCTTATTAATGTTTTGTTTGTTGTGTCTGTTTCTTGAGACAGGGTCTCACTATGCAGTTCAGGCTGGCCTTGAGCTCACTTTGTAGCCCAGGCTGGTCTCGAATTTGCAATGATCCTCCTGCCCCAGCCTCCTGAGTGCTGGATCACAGGCTTGGGACATCACACCCGGTTTGTAAATTTCTTTCTAGAGCATAGAATTGGATCTGATCAGTGAACGGGCAGGCGGGCAGCCACGCCAACCGGTCGAGTCCCTTTCACCCTCAGCCCATGGAGCTCCTGCCTGGGTTTCCTTCCACTCCGTCTCTTGCTTTGCACTGTGCAGTGCCTCCTGTTTCTCCAGGGGTTGACATCTGTCCTGGAGCCCACGGTGGCCTCTCTCTCTTGCCACCGTCCTTTGCCATGACAGGCACTGTGTATTTCCACAGGCTCTGTGTAAACATTCTGACTTCGAGCAGACAGCGCCATTCATTGAAGGAGCCGTGCACTCGCTGCGCTCGCAGCATAGGATTCTGCACTCTAGGGGCTGCGGTTCTGGTACTGAGCCTCGGGTGTTTGCACTGAGTTCTGTCCACAGCCCTTTTTGATCCAGGGTTGAACCCCAGTTGGGTGGGACTTGTCGTCCTCCTACCTCAGCCTCCCAGAGTGCTGGGATGACAAGTGTACACTACTCACAACGCCCAGCAAAATTCTGATGCCATTTTGGCTGCTGTGTTAAGGAGACTTTCACAGGGCTGGGGATTTAGCTCATCGGCACAAGTGCCTGACTAGCAGGCACTAGGTCATGAGTTTGACCCCCGGTTCCAGGAAAAAAGGGGGTTTTACCCAGGAAAAATTTGAGTCTAACTCTTCCCTCCACTCATATACACTATGAGAAATTCACGTATGGGTTTCTTCAATTTGTCGCGTTTTGTTTTGACGTGTGTAGAACCTGTCTTTTGGTGCTGTTTGTCATCACACCACTCAGCTAATTGTTCTAAACTTCAACAATAAAGTTGTGACTCATGGTAATAAACTGGTTTTCTCAAAATTCTCTGATAACTCAGGCTGCATAGCGAGTTCAAAGCCAGCGAGCACCATGTAGTGAGACCCCATCTTAAAACACCAAAAATCAGAAGCAAAACTAGCTGTTCTGGGTGTGTGAAGCAGCAGACAGTATTTTTCTAGCTCAGGTGACAGAACACTAAAACTCAGCCCGGGCAGGGTACAAGTGTTGGTGTCCCACTCTCTCAGGCCACCTTCTCACAGGTGTCACCCGGCTTCGTGCTGGTGTCCCAGAGCAACCCTAGCATGGTAGTGTCTTGGCTTGTTTTTGTTTTTTTATTTGTTGGATTAAAGGAAAAAAATCTATAGGGGAAGGGGAAAAAGAAAGCAAGTTATACCATGTATAGGTACAGATTCCCTATGACGAATGTGATCATTATGTATATCTAAAATGTACTCATAAAATGTGCTCACTGATTAAAAAAAAAAAGGAAAAATCTAATGAAAAGTCAAAATCTAGTCAAATTAAAATTGAAATTTCATGCATCAGGTTGGTCTTATTAATACAACTGCTTAAACTGTGCTTACTTTTATCCCTTTTATTTGTTTATTTATTGAAACAGAGTCTCACTGTGTAGTTCAGGCTAACTTTGTAGCCTGGGCTTGGCCTTGAATTCAAAGAGATCCTTCTGCCTCAGCCTCCTGGATACTGGTTTTTTTTTTTTTTTTTTTTTTTTTTAAAGACAGGAACTCACTATGTAGTTGCTTGAAAGTCACTTGTAGCCATCACAACCTTTTATCAGAAAATATCCAGGGGGTATAGCCTAAAAAGACAGGGTGCTCTCCTGCATAGCCAGCTATATTTCCAACTTGAGATGAGTGCCATCATGCATGCTGTGTTCTGTGATACAAGCTTCATGCTCAACTTCTGCTTCGACCCCAGGCATGTCCCATGGCCCAGAGCCTGGGGGACCCAACTCGGGGCAGCTGTGCAATGAGGGCCCAGTGGCCCTGCTCTGGATGGCAGTTCCCCCTCCAGCCAGGCTGTGGTTTGGGGTGAGGTTAGTGTCACCATCCCTTGGGTTATCCCCAGCTCCATCCTCTAGCTCCATCCCCAGCTTGGCTTCTGCCAAGTTCGCATTGTTACATCCAACCATCTTCCCTGTAAGAAATGCGCAATCCCTAGGAAATACCTGCAGGCTACAACTGGCCTGTTCACCTGCAGAATATCATTCGGCACTTGAGCATCCATGGATTCTGGCTGAAATCCACCACTTTGCTTGCAAGTGGTGATTTTTCTCATTCTTTTTTCTACCTTTTATATGGCGTATTAGTCTACTTTCTGTTGCTGTAACAAGACACCTGAAGTAGGTATTTTTATGAAGAAAGGAAGGGTGACTTTATGGCTCAATGGCAGAGCACGTTCTTAGCATACATGAGGTTCTGGGTTCAATCCTTAGCCTCAAAAGAATCAATAAAAAGGGAAAGTGGTTTGTTTATTGGTTGGTTTGTTCTTTGACACAGACTCTCACTAGATAGCTGAGGCCGGCCTTGAAGCCACTGTGAAACCCTGCTGGCCGGGTGCTTACAAGGTTCTTCCAGGGTTAGGCTAGGCTTTCGGCTCACTTCCTGCAGGCCGGGACAGCGGGGTCACTGCGGGACGCTGGGAGGGGGCTGGTGGCTGCATGGCAGGTGGTGTCCGGGAAGAACACGAGCGAGAGATAACATGGAGAAACAGGAAGCCGGACAGATCCTAGCCTGCCTCGCTCCCTGTACAACCAATGTGGTGCTCTTGAGAAGTGAGTGACCATGAACTAGCCCCTCCCGTGGGCACAGCCACACCAGACACCACTGCCCTCAGGGCTGAACCCCCAGGACAGGTGTCCTTGAGGGCCAAACCACAGCAGGTGGCACTCTAGCAAATTTTTCTTCTTGTATTTCACCAAGCCTGGTGGAGCACATCTACAATGCCAGAGCTCTAGGAGGCTGAGGCAGGAGGCCGGAATATCCAAACACGACCTAGGCCTCTTAGTGACTTAGTGAGACCCTGCCTAAAACTTTAAAAAATTCAAAGAGCGGGGAAGCAGCTGGGGATATAAGGCCCTGAGTTCAATCCCCAGTACCACAAAACAAACAAAATCCAAAAAACAAAAAGCTTTTTTTATATATGTGATGTTGTGAATCAAAGTCAGGACCCTTATGTAAGCTAAGCAAGTTCTCTCTGAGGCAGATGCCCTGCCCAGACATTCATTTACTGATTGGTTTTTTTGAGCCCCTGCCGTGGTGTGTAATCTAGACTGGTTTTGAATTTCCTGTACTCTTCCTGCATCAGCTTCCTGAGTTCTGGGATTATAGGTATGTGCCACCTTGCCTGGCTCATAAATTTTTATTTCTAATTTTATATCTATTAAGACTAAAATTGAAGCAGGCATGGTAGTGCACACCTGTAAGCCTAGCACTTGGGAGGCTGAGGCAGGAGGATTGTTACAAGTTCAAGAGGAGCCTGGGCTCAAGGCCAGCATTAACGACATAAAGAGACCCTGACTAAGAAGACAAAAAGAAAGAAAAAGAAAAATTCTTCCATGCCTTTTTGATTATTTTAGAATTTAATACTGAGTATTTAGAATTTAACACTGTACCTCTTTAAAGATGAGTGCAACTTTGATGTAATTTTAAGTATCTATGGATTTTATCAAAAAACTGTTTAACATAAGCAAGCAGAAATCTTCTGCTATTGTTTTTGTTGTGGTTGTTGTCATTTTCCTATTGTTGTTGTTTGTTTGTTTGCTTCTTGATTTTTTTTTTTTTTATCGGTACCGGGGATCAAACTCATGACCATGCGCTTGCAAGACAGGTGCTTATGCCACTGAGCTAAATCCCCAGACCCTCTTCTTGATTCTTCCTTTTTTTTTCTCTGTAAATAAAAAAATGAGAAAGTAAAGCAATGAAATAAAATGAGAAATCCAAAGTAACTGCATGAAAAAAAAAATCTGTTACAAATTTTTGCTGATTACTTGCAAAATCAATTAAAGCACATTTATATTTGCATTCAAAACATTCCACAGGTTATCTCTTTCTAAATGCAAATTCCTCTTTGTGATCTCTCTTCAGCTTTTTTTCTGCAGTAGATTATGAAAATATAACTGTTTGGTTAAATTGTATATAGTTATATAGTTTCCTAGCACAAGGTGTTGGAGAGTTGTAGCTACCCTTGGTGGTTTTGATTGGAAAATCAATTTTATCATCACTGACAGTTCCAATTAATCCTCACTGGTGGGCTGGCAATTTAGCTCAGTGGCATAAGTGCCTGCCTTGCAAGCATGTGGTCATGAGTTTGATCCCTGGTACCGATAAAAAAAAAAAAAAAATCAAGAAGCAAACAAACAAACAACAACCAGTGTGATTGTTGACAGTACAGCAGTTGTTACTCCGCTAGTAGTTTTGATTTGTATATAAATATATTTTTCTATGTTTCCTAGAAGAATAATCATTTTTTCGATTTATTTTTGTTTTGATGTTTGACAGGGTCTAACTAGCTGTGTGGTTCAGGCTGGGCTTGTACTCACCACAACCCTCCTGCCTCAGCCTCCCAAGTGCCGGGATGACAGGAGTGTGCCACTGTACCTGGCTCAGGTTTTCCATGTTGTGTATGTGGTTAGCTTTCTCTACATGCGTGGTGAACTTGTCTTCTCTAGAAGTTGTGCCACTAACCTGCCAACAACTGGGTACCAAGGTAAGGCATGAAGAGCTGGGATCGGTAGTAGCACTGTCCTCACACACTTCCCTTATGATCAGTGCTAACAAGGTGTTTCCTGGGTTGTGCTCGCACCCCCCACAGCCGGCCTGCAGCCCGTCTGGCATCTGGCAGGCCTCAGACAGTGATTGGCTCCCTGCTGCCCATTGTGATGCTGTGGATGAGGCCTCCCAGGGTTCTAAGAGCAGTCCAGTCACTGTTTCAGCCCAGGGTTTTCACTTAGCTTCGCTGTCTTGTTTGGAGCCAGAATTCAAACACTGTTCAGTTAAACTACAGGACGCTGGCCTCTGACTCAGTTCAAGGCATTTATATTTATGCCATTTTTGTCTGCCTTATTAACAAAGTGAAAAAAAGCAGTCTCCATCTCCCAAAAAGGTAAAACTCCACTTTGTTTTTTGATATATTATTGTTCTAAGATTAGATAAATTACATTTAGGATTAAGTACATAAGGGGAGCTTTGTGAAGAAGTTTATGAAGGACACGTTTAACCCAAAACTATATATAAAATTTATTTCTTAAGAACTAGAGGTACAAACAGTACAAAAATAGAAGACCAAGTTCTTTTCTTTTTTTTTTTTTTTTTTTTTATATGTGTGTGAGCTCTTTTCTTTCTTTCTTTCTTTCTTTCTTTCTTTCTTTCTTTCTTTCTTTCTTTCTTTCTTTCTTTCTTTCTTTCTTGTGGTACTGGAAGTCGAACTCAAGACCTCATAGTGCCAGGCAGGCTGCTGAGCTGTCTCCCGGCCTAAGCAGCCCCCACCCACATCCACCCAGTTGTGACCTGAGCTGTTTTCTTATTAAGACATCTTTTCAGTTTATTCAAAAAATGAGATCTTGTAAAATTAAATATTTTAACTGCATATTTAAATTGCATGTTTTTCATCACAAGGCAATGAACAGAGCATATTTTCCTCCCATCTCTTAATCTTTTGAATCAAAATGCTTCTAATTCTGGCTAATCTCAAATAGAAGCTTCTATTTATTTTTATTTTGTCAATGACTTCATGTATGCCTTCAAATTGTTATTAATAAAAAAATAAAAAGATTAAAAGTGTGAACTATTATTATTAGTCTTTTTGAGACTAATAATAGGGTTTCACTATGCAGTTCAGGCTGGCCTTGAGCTCACTTTGTAAACCAGGATGGCCCTGAACTCTGCAACAATCCTCCTGCTTTAGCCTCCCAAGGGGCTGGGATTACTGGCACTGGCCAACATGCTCAGCTGTGAACTTTTTTTTTTTTTGGTCTTTTTGAGGCAGGGTCTCCCTGTACAGTTCAGGATGGCCTTGAGCTCACTTTGTAGCCCAGGCTGTTCTGGATCTTGCAATGATCCTCCTGCCTCAGCCTCCAGAGTGCTGGGATTACAGGCGTGAGCCACCACGCCCCTCTAGCTGTGAAACCTTTTAGAGGACAATAATTATCTCTCTCCTAAATGACTCAGATTCTAATTGGACACTCAATGGATATAAAAGCTACTTTAAATTAAATCATCTTACCCCAGAGAAGAGTACACTCCCTTATCGAAATTATCAAAACTTATTTCTCTAATCTCGGGTTCTTTTGTGGCCCATTGTCACCTGGGGATCTGATTCTGACTGTCCCGGAGTGGAACACGGTGTGGCTACTCTCCCAGTCAAGGCAAATGAGATTTAGTGGGCTGCTCCTCCTGATCTCCCACTCTCCAAACTCTTGCTGAGGTTTTCGACAACTGCCTGCCTTCCTTTCGCCAAGCTTGCGTGAACATCGCCCCTGTGATTGCCTCATACTTGCCGCATCTCATCATTCAGAAGCTATTTATCTATTTTTTCCATGGCCTCCTTCAACCCCCACCCCAGGGCTGGATGCCTGCTCAGCCCCCACACATTCAGGCGTATTCATTCCCGTAAAGATAGTGACACTTAGGGTTTATTCTAAGACTAAATCTGTGTTGCCAGTGACTAAGGGCTTAAGCATGCACACTGCTTCTTCGCTTGCTTACCCTCCTACCTAACTGGACTGCTCCACATTTTTCTTTCTTTCCCGCAGAATCTCCTGTTTTGGCACCGCGCAGTTAACACACCACTGCCAGGCTGCTAATTGATTTTTGAAACCTGACGTTTGTTTTTTGTTTTCTCCCATCTTCCCTTAATGGTACAGCACTACTAAGCAGGAAGGAATGCAAAGAACTAGAAAGTTCAAAGTAATTGAGGATCTGTCCATTCACACTGTCTGGCTTCATGCCAGCATAGAACCTGGAACATTCGAAAAATAGTTATCAAGTTTTAACCCTTTTGCTAAGTCAAGGAAGGAGGTTTGTGGCTGTAGCGTTTGTGTGAAGAGCAACAGCGAGGGAGCTTGGTTGGGCATGTCCTTTATATGTTCAGAGCCGCATGGCGAACACCTCAGAAAAGGATCACTTTCCAATTGCCATGCAATTGTACGGGGCTAAACTGGTTATTTTCTGTGAGACTGCAGAGTTTGGTATTTCAAAGAAACAGTGCTTAATAGTGACAGCCTTAGTTCATGAGTCTTTATGCCAGAGATGAAATTTAAATTAAAGAGAATTTAATTTTTAAAAATTGTAAATGCATTAGTTTTGTGGCCAAAGGCAGGTTCATATCTGTATTCATCTAAGAAAAATAGAAATGAGAAAGAAATTAACAAGGTTATAAAAATATGTCATCAAAAGCTTATCAAATAATTGTGTGTTTTATTTACTTTGTTGTGCTTCTAAAAATGCACACTTTTTATAAATGAAAATATGTTAACAACTAGTGTGAAATTTAGAAGCCTTTCCAGGGAAAGAAATCGATCTCATCGCAGTAAAAATTTGGGTGGAAATACAGGCCATTGAAACTGAGCTACAGATAGTGAACTATTTAAAAGCAAACTAACTTAAAAGCAAATTAAAATACAGATAGATACCAAGTTGTGCCACCTCCGAGGTTTGGGTTAAAGTCAAAACTGCACAAAAATTCTATTAAGAATCTCTGTATTACATGATCAAGCGATCTTGTTATCAACATTAAAAAAGTCTTCAGAAGATCAGTGTTTTAAAAAACTACATTAAATCTCATACCAATTTCTCGAACTTGTTTTTTAAGCTGTTTAATTACACGGTTAGGTTTAATATTAGAGAAAATTGAGCTAGCTTTTTAAAGATGAAAACGGGCAGCCTGAGAGTGTTTACTTAGAAAAAAAATTGCAAAAATAGTTTTGAAATAAATAGTACTTTGGTATCATGAAAGTAGTCATCAGCCGTTGTCTGAAAGCAGCGATCACAGCTATAAAAATGAATCATGTAGTAACAAGAAAGGAAGGAAAAAGTCTGTTTGACGACATAATTTTACCTTTTCTAAAATAAATACATCTAATATTTTACGTGATTATTAACTCGTCCACAGGTGGAAAAAGAGACCCATACCTTTGACAGATGTAGTCTTTGAAGGGAACTCTTTGCTAAGGACCTTTAAAAGCTGCTTCACTCGGAGGCGGTGAGAAAACTGCTGTCCACGTACAGTGTCTAATGCTGTAGTGTGCTGTCAACATATGCACGTACGGAGTAATATTCCAGGCATTTTTATTACAGTTTATTGTTCCGGCTTCCCAATAAGCCAGATAAAATCATGTACAAGAACATTAAGGATTAAGGAAAGTGGTTTCCTTTCGTGATTACTGGTAAAAACTCACTCTTCCATTATAACAACGTAGTAAGTGGATGGTGATATATTTGTCTTTTGCTTTTCACAAACTTGGATTCCTACTTTGCAAAGGTGCTGAGTATCTAAGGTTTGCTGGCTTCCGTGGTTGTCTTTTCGTAGGAAAAGGTGTCACGGTACTAGGTAAATGTGCTATGTTTCTCTTCTGTAAATAGTATTAAACTCCATTTTCCCGTGCTAGCAAAAAATAAGTCAAAGATGTAATGTCTATTTAAATACACATTAGGGCTAGTCGTTAGTGCTTAAATTAGATTCCACACTTTGGCTAGAATCGACATGGTTTAAATATTAAAAACTTCAAGACCTCCCCCCCATGAGAAGCGGGCTGAGTGTGGAAACTTCTAGTCGTTAAATACTGAAGGGGTGGGTTGGGGGCCAGCCTTGCTTGCAAGGACTTAGAAAAATGCTTGCCAGTGAACCCTTTTGCAGGGCACACCGAATTTGCTTTGCTACGTGGGTACATTCACTCTTGAAGATACATAAGAGACAAGAGCTGTTTTAAACTTGTTTATTATACCGCCCCTAGTTTTCGGCTCGAGACAAGTACATTTTGTATATTTAAAAATACACGTTCATTAAACCAGCCGCTGAAAACCTCAGCGCCCCCACCTAGCCAGCCGCCTTCTGGGTTTCAGCTTCTGAGTTTCAGGTCCTTGCACAACACCTACGACGTGCAATACTCTTTTTCGCCCTAATCCTGTTTGGGAACAGTCCGAGGCGATCTCCCTCCGCGTCTCCACCCCTCATTCCCCCTCTTCCTAGATTCCATCCGCTGCTCTCCTTCCCTCCGCCCCCGGCTCCGCCAGCCAGATCTGTCAGAGAACTTGTGTACAAACTGCGCGGCCGCCCTGCGCGCGAAGCTCGTGGCCCGAGGGGTGCGGTCAGCCCTGCAGGGGCGGAGCCCCGGGAGAGCTTCTCTCTTCTCATAGGCTGGCCGTTTCGAGTTTGCGGTCCTCGAGGCCTCGGGATTGGTGGAGGCGCCGTCACTCAGCCTGAGGGAGCCCGCCCCCCCTGAGTTGGGTGAAATAGAGGCGGGCGTCAAGTGTCAGTAGTCGCGGGGCAGGTACGCGCGCTCGCAGCTCGCTCGTGGAGGTCTGCACCGGCGAGAGCGGGCTCGGGCGAGGAGAGAGCGCGCTGGGGCGGGGCGGGAGAAAGTGGCCGCTGGAGGACACTAGCACTGACGCGTGGCGGAGCGGAAGAGTTTTGCTTTTGGTCCGCGCCTTCGAAGACTGACTGCTTCGGGTCGAGGGGTCTCCCCGGACCCTCCCCGCCTCCGCCCGCGGCCCCGCGCCGAGCTCGCCCGCCCCAGCCAGCGTGGGCCAGGTGAAGAGCGCGCCCGATCCGCGCCCCGCGCCCGGAGCCGCGCCCTCGAGGGTCCCCATGGCCACGCGGGTGCTGACCATGAGCGCCCGCCTGGGCCCCGCGCCCCAGCCGCCGGCCGCCCAGGACGAGCCCGTGTTCGCGCAGCTTAAGCCCGTGCTGGGTGCCGCGAACCCGGCCCGCGACGCAGCGCTCTTCCCCGGCGAGGAGCTGAAGCACCCGCACCACCACGCGCCGGCGCCGCCCGCCGCTGGCCCGCGGCTGCCCCCGGAGGAACTGGTCCAGGTAGGGAGCCGCTGCCGCCGCTGCCGCCGCCTCCCGGGCGTGTCCTGCCGCTGCGACGCGCGGGCGACAGGGGCCGCTCCAGGCCGGGCGCGCGTCGGGGCGCACGGGGACCGCGCTCGGCCGGGAGCAGACTGGGGGCGGGCGGGGCGCCGGGACGGTGCCGGGAGCTGCGCGCTCCCGCACGGGGGCGGCTCCTGCGTGGGAGCGGTGGGACCTGAGCGTCCAGCTCCACGGAAATGCTGCCGCGCCTTCAGCCCCCTCCCCCTCCAGGCCGGGCCCCCTGCACCCTCCCCTGCCCTCCGGTTCCCTCCCCTTCCCTTCTCCTGGCGGGTTCGGGTGCCGCGCGGGTTAGGGTGCTGGGGAGAGGGTGCATACTTCGGGCCTCCCCTTGCTTTCGAAGCGATTGCGGGTCCGCGTTTGGGAAACGAGTGGATTAGGAGTAGTCGGTGGTACTGGGGGCGCTTGTTTTTCCCTTAAAAAGGAAGGCGGAGAGAGGCCAGGGTGTTGTTTTCTCTGTGCGCGTAAATGTCCTCCCGAGCCGCGCCGAGAGCTGGCAGTTGGCTTCTACACTTGCCCGGCAGCCGAATTAGAGCAACCGCCTGTTTCTTTCGCCCACGCACGGAGTCATATAGCCCAGAAAAAACTTCCCGGGACTTTTAGCTTGTCCCAAGGAAAGAAAAAAAAATTGGAAACATACCCACATGCAAACAGCTGGAAGAGCTAAAATCAGAAACCACTAACCGCCGCGGGAGCGCAGTGCGCGAAAGGGGTTAGTTGGGTTTATTTCAAGACGCCCAGTTTCACAGCACCTCGGTCGCCTTGGTGTGTTGTGTGTTTGCTGCCCATCACCTACCCCGAGAGGGCTGCTGGTGCCTGCCGGGTCTTGAGTGGACATTGGCGTTTGTCAGAGCTGTGACTCACAGGACGGTAGCGTTTATTTGTATTTTTAAATCGTGTTTATCCGAGAAATCCCGGCCCCCATCCACACCGTACAATCTGAATGGTTTGAAGTCCCAGTTGAAACGCTTTGGGAGTATTCGCTGATGACAGTGCCAGGTTATTTGTGAGCCGTTCCCTCTAATGGAGTTTTGTTTTTCTTTTTTGAAATTCCCTTTTCCATGTTAAGAAATAGGAGAAAAATTCAGTCAAGGGGAGAAAATAACTTTGAAAAGACTGAGGCAGCTTGTTGCAAGCCGCTCTAGGTCCTCGAATGGAAAAATCACAGTTTGTGGACTGTTTGGTTATTTCAATTTGGCAATGTTCTGCTTAGGAAACACAAGAGGATAAGGGATGACGGAGCTTTTTACAGAGTAAGGGGGAATGTAGCACGGGCTCACTGAGATGAATATGTGATAAATGTATTGCTGGTGACTGCCAGCATACAGCAGCCTGTCCCACCCACTGGTTTCTTAGCACCAGTCTACCAAAGGAGTGATTTTCCCTAAGGTAATTAAAGATCTGTTTTAGATAGGAATATGAATAGGAACATTACATTATCGTATTAACCAATTACTGAATCTCCTGATTACATCAACATTTAGATCAAACGTTGAATGTGAAATCGTTTTTGTTTCAGTGGATACTGTGTTTTGCTGAAAACATTGTATTTAAGTTTTGAACTGCAAGGGGGAAGTCACTGAAATAGCCAAATAATATTTTATATTAGCTCTTTCAGAAATATCTAGCCAAGGCAAAAAACCAAAACCAGACCAAACAAAAAACCTTTTTAAAGGCTTGCACAGCTTTAAAAAATTTTTTTAAGAAAACAAAGCATGTTAAATTTAACTGAGCAGAGTTGAGACAGTTTGGCAATACTTTGATACTGTAGTCTGCCTCTAAACTTGACTGCTTGTACAGAGTGATACTTATTGCATCAGAAAGGAATATATTTTGTTTGCCATTTTTCTCCCCTTGATTTGCCTCTTTCTTGGCTTGATTTGATAAAACTTGAGCAGTTTTATCAAAGATATATTATGCAGACTTTCATAGGCTTTTGGTAAAACAGTAATTACACAATCGACAAAATAAACATGGTCTGCTTACAAGTAGCACCTATGAGTTTGCTCTAGTACTTTATGCGGGGCTTGTTGGGGGGAATTTTTTAGTTTGTGTTTTCTTCCTGAGATATGTCAGATAGATCATAAATGTTTGTATCTCTTCTTTTTCAGACAAGATGTGAAATGGAGAAGTATCTGACTCCCCAGCTTCCTCCAGTTCCAATAATTCCAGAGCATAAAAAGTATAGACGAGACAGTGCCTCAGTGGTAGACCAGTTCTTCACTGACAGTGAAGGGTTACCGTACAGTATCAACATGAACGTCTTCCTGCCTGACATCACTCACCTGAGAACTGGCCTCTACAAATCCCAGAGAGCGTGCGTAACACACATCAAGACAGAACCTGTTACCATTTTCAGCCACCAGAGTGAAACGACTGCCCCTCCCCCTCCTCCTCCTCCAGCCCCGACCCAGGCCCTGCCCGAGTTCACCAGTATATTCAGCTCACACCAGACCGCAGCTCCAGAGGTGAACAACATTTTCATCAAACAAGAACTTCCTACACCAGATCTTCACCTCTCTGTCCCTCCCCAGCAGGGCCACCTGTACCAGCTCCTGAACACACCGGATCTAGACATGCCCACTTCTACAAACCAGACAGCGGTCATGGACACCCTTAATGTTTCCATGTCGGCCGCCATGGCAGGTCTTAACACACACACCGCTGCTGTTCCGCAGACTGCGGTGAAGCAGTTCCAGGCCATGCCCCCTTGCACGTACACCATGCCAAGTCAGTTCCTCCCCCAGCAGGCCACTTACTTTCCCCCGTCACCACCAAGCTCAGAGCCGGGAAGTCCCGATAGACAAGCAGAGATGCTCCAGAATCTAACCCCACCTCCATCCTACGCTGCTACAATTGCTTCTAAACTGGCGATCCACAACCCAAATTTACCTGCCACCCTGCCAGTTAACCCGCCAAACATCCAGCCTGTCAGATACAACAGACGAAGTAACCCGGATTTGGAGAAACGCCGAATCCACTACTGCGATTACCCTGGTACGTGTTCCTCTCCTCAGTTGCAGCACCCACAGTGTGTGTGTATGAGAGGTGTGTGTGTGTGCTTGCTTCTTTTTCTGCAGCCTTAGCCTTTGCATTTGCATAGAAAAGCTGTACCTGACAGTGAGAAAATAAATTCACCCACTTTTTTG